TCATTAACCCGTTGCGAATAAAAATGTTTTATGCATTACATTTAATTACAATACAAAAATTACCTATTTACGCACACAGTGTACACGTCTGTTTATCATTGGTTGGTTTCTGCTGCCAAGGCTATCATTCACCGTCGCACCCTGCTGGAAAGAACACACTCAGTCACAGTGTGATCCACACTGTGAATGAGTGTGAATGAGTGTGTTCTTTCCTTTTCCGGTTATCCACACTGTGAAACGAATCGACCACAATGTGAAAACGCCCCAATTTAACATTGTGGAGCACACTGTGATTCACAGTGTGATTCACACTGCGAATGAGTGTGAATGAGTGTGTTCTTTCCAGCAGAGCAATGGCGCATTGCATCAGTGTTTTCAGTTAATGGCCTAATATAACGATTGCTTTCATACTATGTAGCAACTGCGTCATCAATACTTTTGTGTACGCTTTTACTAGATGTGATTACAAGAAAACCCTTTTCAACATTGTGTGTCAAAGGCCTGACATCCATTTAAATCTTCAATGACATGAGTTACAAGAGGAAGGGGCTGGGCACAAGTTGATATGAAAAAAGAAAAGTAAGGTATTCATACATGTACAATGACTGTGTCCAAAACTGTTCATTATTTGCGTTTTTTCCCATTTAGATTAAATTTGCACTAAATTTGCGCTATTCCCTGCGCTGATCAAGGTTGTGAAGGAATCTAGCCCGTATGACAATGATAACACGCACTGTGTGCACTCTTCATTTTGAAATCATACATGATGCGTCAAAGACTGCATCAGTCGATGACGTAATCTTACGTCAGGCAACCACAGACGTTGCGATATTATATTTAAATAGAAAATAGGCAGGAATAAATTGCTAAATTTCCTATTAGTCGGATATAAAGCCGACTCGGTTTTAACAAAGTCGTACGGCTGGTGTGACGTCACCATGATTCTTAGCCGGTCTGGGCCAAGTTTCTTTGACGGCCCGCAAAATGGAAAAATAATATTACAATTTCAGAATATAGTCCATCTTTAAGTACACTGTTGCTCATAACGGTGGAATATTTTTTTTTATCCCAATTTATGGAATTATTTTAAAAATAATTTAAAAATACTAGATCTAGATAATAGTATACAGTCTCAGATTTTATTGAATAATAATTTGCCAATATGTGTTTTGCGTGACTGCTAAAACATGTATATTATGCTACTATGTTTATCAACTAGGGGACCTATGCCCTTAAGTCATAAATGACAGTAATGAGGATTAATGCCTCACAAAAGGGCACTAATATAGCACATCGACACGGTGTTGATCCTGGGGCCTCACAGTTACGAGGCCATTGCTTTGTCACTGAACCATGACTGTACTTAGCGGGGGCTAGGGTAGGGGGCAGTTTCCATAAATTAAAAAAAAACACAGAAAATGCAATAAATATTCAATAATTTATTGCATTTTACCCCGTCCCTAACATTAAAAAATCCTCTGGACGGCCATGCATTATGGCTCAATGCATGGGCACACAGAAGATTTTTTTATGTTGGGGACCGGGGTAGAATGCAATAAATTATTGAAAATTTATTGCATTTTCTGTTTTTTTTTTAATTTATGGAAACTGCCCCTACCCTAGCCCCTGCTACGTACAGTCATGGTTCAGTGACAAAGCAATGGCCTCATAACTGTGAGGCCCCAGGATCAACACCGTGTCGATGTGCTATATTAGTGCCCTTTTGTGAGGCATTAATCCTCATTACTGTCATTTATGACTTAAGGGCATAGGTCCCCTAGTTGATAAACATAGTAGCATAACAGACATGCTTTAGCAGTCACGCAAAACACATATTGGCAAATTATTATTCAATAAAATCTGAGACTGTATACTATTATCTAGATCTAGTATTTTTAAATTATTTTTAAAAAAATTCCATAAATTGGGATAAAACAAAATATTCCACCGTTATGAGCAACAGTGTACGTCTATGTTACAGTGAGAGTGATTTGTTTTCTTCAGTAGTCACTAGAGGGCGATATTCAATTAGATGACATCATTTGTGGACAACTCTCCATGCCTTTTGTACATCAAAATTCACAATTCTTTCGTTTCCTTCGTATTTATTTGTGTTCTTGATCCGACTTCATAACATGTGAATTAGAATATCATTTTACATTCTATACCTTGCTTTCAGAGGAGTACATTATCTTAATCACAAGAAAGAAGGAAAAACATGAAATTTGATGTACAAAAGGCATGGAGAGTTGTCCACAAATGATGTCATCAAATTCAATATCGCCCTCTAGTTACTAGTCATTTCAAAAAGCTGTATCTTCCTTATTCCTTGCCCGATTTTGTTCGAATTTTCACTGATTTTATTCAAATATCTTAAAGTGGCACGTTCCCGCCAGTGTAGTTATCGCTGCTCTAGTCATCGCCATCTTGGTTCCGAAGATCGACTTCTAATTTGCATACAGCTGTCAATCAAAGTACGCGCGGCCTGGCCTGCCTTCGCCAAGCCAGCTGATCGCTGACGATCGCGACGTCACGAAAGTAGGCGGAAACTGCGATTGGCATTACTTCGGCACATGTATGCGATAATCGGTATTGTCCGGGCATTCGGAACATGCCATCTGCGTAAGAGCCGTATTCTGTTGGTGTCAATAGGCAGCTAGCACCGTCCGCCAGCGGGTACGTATTTTGAACGCCCTCTGGAATACGGGGAACATGCCTCTTTAAACTTTACAATAAAAGTAACTTAATAGTATGAAGGCTTTAGTTCCCTTTAAACAAATTTCCCTATACTTTGCACTTTTCTGCACGTAGCGTTTTTACATTATTAAACAAATATCTCCTATTCTTGATTAGGTAACATTAATTTTTGACATGAAATTTATATCTGTTATATATCTTAACATAGCAAATAATCTGACAGAACTTTTTCCACATTCTTCACTGAAACCAAACCGCCAAATCTTCATGATCAGATTTTCTTGCATGGCATTTGAGATTTGGCGGACAGATAATGGACAGATAATTTGTGAATTCAAGCTCCATGATTGGCGATAATAATGCCTAATTTTGTCATATCATTGACTTAATTTCTATGTTGTGATATATCTGATCACCTGCCACATTATTTCATTATCTGAGTATTGAGCAATCTTGACCTCCGTAACACTGGCTTTGGGTGGTTTCAACTTTCAAGGATCGCAATCATTGTCTTGATCACCATGAAAACCATTGGCGGGAAGCGAAAATGTTAAATCAATAGAATACTTGCGAGTTACACACATGAATCCTCTTCATCAGGTAATCGGGTAACCTGACCCTTCTTCAATGAGATAGAATGTAGGTCACTTCTCCAATCTTTTTCCTCCACATGCATTCTATCGCTCTTTCTTTCATATACAACACGTCCACACTAGGCCTACCATCTCTCCCCTAACTCCATCTCTCTCTCAGTTCCTCCCCTCTCCCTACCTCTCGCTGTCTCTCTGTCTCTCTCTCTGTCTCCCTCTGTATCTCTCTCTCTGTCGCTCTCTCTCTCTCTCTCTCTCTCTCTATTTCTCCTCCCTCTCTCCTTTCTATATCATTCCGGAGATAATTAATATTCAGTTTAATTTATATCTGTATGTGATCACTGTCAGACAAATATGACTTTGATCGTCTATTCCTGCAATAGTTTAATCATTAGCCACGTTTGCTTAATACCCTTATACAAGAAATATGTCTCGTATTGAATTGCTTTATCCAGAGATTTAGACAAATAACCATCATTCACACTGTATCGTGATGTCATAAAGTCATTAATGTTCACACACAGTCTGTCACGATAAACACTACACTTCTATTTTTGTAACAGTTACAAGCAAATGTCAACAGTGGTAATTCAAATACGTTGATGGGTGAACCGCGACGGTGCGTCAAAGAACGCGCCAGTAATATTACGTCTCATAATGTTCAGCGGACATAACTTATTGTCGGAGTGGGATCTGCTAGATCGAGAAGCTGTATGCTCTCTCCACGCCTATTTTGAACATGCACGAAATAAGCGTAGCCGGTTCGTGGCCAACAATAAGTGGGACAAAGTCTTATTAAGAACGTAGTGGGAACGCCATTATCGTACAAGTAGCGTGATAGCATATCGTGGTGAGATTTCAGTGTACAAATCTCGTAATGAAAACGCAGCTACATCGTTCACTATTTCGAGCAGCTTTAGGCCGTTTATCTCCGAAGTTGGGAAAGAACTGAAGGAGTCTTCTAGGTCTGTATAACAACGTATTATGGACCTGCACATTGTATCAGCAACGTAGTAGAAACGACCACTCGGTCGGCAATCGTGATAGATGTAATCGTAGTGGCAGCGAGACAGCATCGCCTTTGACATGAATAACTCACAATGTTTTCGCCCTTTCCCATCGCAAATATAGAATCTTATTAGTCTCTGGGGTTTGAATCCCCATCGCCTCATTAAGTAAATTGAGAAATATTTATGAAGAAATAAACGTCCGCGCAATTTCTTGATATGGGAAGAGAAAGCAGACGATAACCTGCAGTGTGTCGCTGCAAGCTGTTCATTTGTGCGCTACCTAACAAAGTTTGTAGTGTGAAATCTCAGTTCATATCTATAAATAGCGGATGGCAGAGACCATCTTATATTATAGTTTGACAAATCATTGCGGGATATTGTTGGCCAGAAACACATGAGGGTGAAAAGTCGGTCAATGGTAAGAATAATACAGATTAAAAGCAAACATGTTTCGTTGATCAAAACATATATACTCCCATTATTGATTATTTCTTTCAAATGGGCAACGCAATTCAGCTGAACTCTCGCAAGGAAAGTCACATTTTGCAAGGTGTAGTGACGACAAATTGATAGTGAGAAAACTTTACACGTATTCAGTTTAATTCGAGAATGATCTAAAAATAATTCGGGTTAAAGTATCAAACTTTCAAAAACATTTCAAGATTTCGGTAATCAGTGATTGACCATTTATTCAGTTTTCACTATGTTGACTGCTAACAGTATCTTGAGCGTGGTCTTATCAGTAGTCCAAGTCATCGTCGGACTTCCGTGCAACGCCCTCATTATTGGAGTGTATGCGGGAAGGAAACCCAAGACGTCCACGGCTCTCTTGATCATCTACCGAGCCGTTATAGACGTCGTAGCGGCAACTATCATGGCGCCAATAGACATCGTGTATGTAGTGACCGACCCTGATTCTTGGTTGTGTTTCTTCGCGATCATTTTAAAAGATATCCTTTCGTATTCGTTGCTGACGACGGCTGTAGCTATCGCATACGATCGGTTCGTCGTCGTCTGCACACCGTACGACGGATGGTCATCGAAGAAACGAGGCATCATCGCGATCGTCTCAACGGTCTCCGGTTCAGTACTTCTGTCGATCGGGGGGACGATCGCCGAACGACAGAATGATCCTGGTGCCATCTGCAGGGCCACTTCGCACCCGTCATCAATGACGCATGCGTGGATGAAAACGGCTGTGTTTGCAGCCTCGGTAATCGCGTGCCTGGTCTTCTACTGGCTCGTGTACATCACGTTCCACAAACATGCTGCTCAAGGTCAAGCCCGCGCCGGTAGCCGACTAAGTACGATCAGGGAGGGTCGAAAAAGACGTCGCCTGTTCGGAAAGAGAGAGCAGACAAGAGAATCGGTAACCTCTAAGTCTTCGAGGAGTGTTCATGTTCAGATCGAGCCAGCACCTCCGACGACGACGATGGGCTTCATCCACTCCGAAAACCAATCCGAGGCAAAGTACAGTCTAAACCCTCAGAAAGAATCCACGCCCACGGAAATAGAAAACACAGAGATGTGGCTGAAGCCTCGACTTTTTTCAATTCATGGGAGTGAACCTGGTCAACGAAGCCTCAAGTACACGCAAAATACGCGACCAGAAACATCGAGAGCTTCAACGAGCAAAGGCAGGAGAAATCGCTTCTCGGAGTCGAGCGCCGTTTCGCCGATGTCGGCGATAAACATGCCCTGCAAAGAAAGTCGGTCGATATCCGTGTCCGCGCTCATCAGCAGCACTACCGTCAATATTCATCGAAATAGTCGACCTCGCACCGCAGACATTTCGAACACGACTGCGAACCGGGATGCCGTCAATGAACGTCTGGATCAAGAGCATAAAACCACTGTCATGATGTTCGCCGTTACCTTCTTTCTCATCGTCTCATGGATCCCCGCGGTCGTCTTCTACCACGTCGGCAAAGTCGACTACGGCATCGACGACATGGACGATGGCATCGAGCATCAGAATGAACTTGTTTTTCTCGCCACACGTTTACCGCAGTTAAACCACTTCGTGAGTTGTTTCATTTACGCGCTGACCAGTGCAGAGTTCAGGCGGGAAGTTCACAGCAAAATCCGTAAGTTAGTGCATTGTGGCAGGCAGCAGGAAAATCAGTTAGAAGTCTAATGCCTCAGTCACACCTTTGCGTACTTGGTTTGCATATTGCTGCGTATTTATGGCAAGCCGTTTTAACATTATTCCTATTTTTTAATAAACGATTTTCTGTTGTAAAGCAATGGTAATTCTTGATATCAAGAAATAGGAATAAATGTTAAAACGGCTTGCTGCAAATACGCAGCAATACGCAAGCCAAATACGCAAAGGTGTGACTGGGGCATTATACTGGTTGCACGCAAGGCGTTGTTTGATAACGCTGGACTGCGTCAGAGGTTGGCACGATCCCTGACGCATTCGTGAGTCATACCGTGCAAATAAACGGAAATTGAATACACATGTAGTGCATCGCGTTGAAACACTGGTGCATGCGCTAATTTCCTTTAAGGGCTTGATTAGCCAAGTAATAACGCAGTCGCAAAGGTGCCTCGCGTCACACCCACTGTACACGATGCGTCAGCCCGCTGACGTAGAACTGCGTCGATGGTCATCAACTTGAACGGTCTATGACGTGCTTTGTTGAAGTGATATCGTACAAAATGTAGACTGCAAATATTTTGTTGAATTGTCGGTGCAAAGGCTCTATTGACGCAGGCATATGACGCAATTGAGATGGTATCTCGTGAGCAACAGGCGGATAATGGTCAGTGGGAGATAATATTCATTTATTCATTTAATTGATAATGTGATAATTACCCGATTGTAGCACATGGTTATTCATACACTTATGTATTCGTTTCTTTAAGTTTGTGTACATTATATCTACCATTGTTATCTTTTTGTTGGTGTTTTTATTTGTATTTAAAGTCCGTCTTCAAGTTTTGGTTTTTTTGCAATCAAGAATGAATAATTATAATAATTCAAAAAGATATAACAAGGTCGCGAGTATTTTCTAAAAACATCAAATGAAGGCAATTGCAATAGCGCCTTGTGCGTCACTTGATATCATGTTTGAACATTGACAATGACTTATGTAGTAATCAGAACACGAATTCTAGGGCATTTACGATGGGCCCGTGCTGAAACTGCCGTCGAATCGATTCCTCGGAAAGTCTTGTTACCATGTCATATGTCTGATGTTTCATTATTTATGTAGCTCGTCTTTTTTATGAATACAAAGTCATGTACAAAAGTCATCATCTCCCATGCGTCATATTCTAAAATACGAGTTAAAATAACGGATATTTCAGAGAGGGTAAATAGTGGCAGACATCGATTTATACATGTACGTTGAGGACATTACATTCTAAGGTTGTTTTGGATGTGAGTATGTAATGAGAAGCATCACGCTTCTTAGGCAAATTACAAGGCGATCCATGTAAACTGTAAGCTTTTTGTATTTAAAAAAAGTATAAGGGAAACAGAACGGTCGAACGTTTGTAATAAATCGGACAGCGAAGAAAGAAACTAAAGTCTGAAAGATGAGATCACTAAATCTATGAAATTCAAATTGGCGATTTTGTATGTGAATTGTGACGTATACTAAAGCATCATTCATTTTTTTCCTCTTAAGCACCTTCTCCCTGGAGGCAGTACTCAACATATATCATAAATAGCATAATAACAGATCCTCCAAAGGGGGTGGGGATGGACTCCAAAGTTATACATTTTGAAAAAAAATTACCTTTCAAGTCATTTTGTGTGTTCGAACAAATAGACAAGTTGTCCGCCACTACATCACCGATTCAGCCAATTACACATTCTCATATACTGTATGTATAGTAATTAGATTAGAACTGGGTAAAAACGGAACTTTCGCATTGTTTATCCGATTTCATTCAACCCTTCTCGGTTCGGCTTCTCTTATCTTCTGTTACCTGTCAGAACAATTTGTTATACAATTTAGAAGCCCCTTTGAGTACATTACTACAAATTAACACGAATAAAACAAACAGCATTTTCACATTATATATTTTTATTATCTCACCCGTTAGATAGATGTATACAATTTCTCCATTCCAAGTGAGTACACTATACCGATCAATACAACTCGTCTTGACAATAATAATCTTAATTATTCCCCTATCGCTTTGAATTCATTTTGGACTCATTTACTTATTTGTAATCATTATTATTATTTTTTTAGCATGAAGGGACATTTTGGGGGCATTTGTCACCCCATAAACCCTATCCTTAAAGATAAAGTTGAGTTATGGTCATGCGATTGCATTGTGAAAGAAACAGTGTGGAAGCGATCAGAAAAAGTTGATCATGTAGCGGATAAATATTCGTGTGTATTGCAAGGTTCTGGGGTCATCAAAATAAGAAGAAATTTGGCCCAGTCTTGACAAAGTAACAAACACTGTACACAGAAATATGTATATGGGACTACACAAACATGTGGCATTAAAATCGGGCCTCATTTTAAAGCTGTTGCTTGTCATATTTAGAATATGAAGGCATTGGAACTGAGAGCCATGCTTTTTAGGAGCCATTTTCTCTGATGTTCTGCCATACTTGCATAATAACAATGATAACGCTCACAAATTATTTTTCAACTCCCAGAACTCAGCCTCTATTATTTTAAGTGATGCCCCTCCATGTCTAAACATAAGGATAAAACCTTCAAATATCGATATTCCTATAATAATAATGATTATGATAATAATAATAAGAATTGTAATAATGATTACTAAAATAATAATAATAATAGTAATGACAAAAAAGTAACAATAATAATATTAAAAAATAAAAATAATGATAAATGGTAAAGTGCCAAATTCAATCTCAACCAAATGCCGAAGGCACACATATTGTGATAATAAACAAGACGCAAGACGCTAAAACTCATCTCATTGATACAATGCTGGTGAATGTTTACTAAACAGTGGTCTAAAATTGCATTACTAATAATTGATATGTTGGCAATAATGGATATTTTCAAAACAAAATAGTACGTTCGAGAAGCAAGACATTTGCATGCTTATAATAAAAGAATATTCTTTTTCTTTTGGAAATGCTGATATAATAATATTATCCACAAACAACACCACTTAAACAAATTATATATACAAAGTAAAATCAATATCAATTAACATACACGATGGCGCTAAACTTGGTTGGCGCTTATAAGAAATATTCAGTCTAATGCCAAATTAATGTAACATAAACTCATAGGTAATAAACAAGAAATTGACCTGTGTTAACACTTTCTAAAGATCCCTCAAATCATGCTTATTTCCTCGATATAACATTATTTACCTATTAGTGAGTTTTATATTTGTCTTCATATGCTTTTATTTTGCAAGCACTACGGTACTTCATGTAGTAATAATAATAATAATAAAAACAGAAAATACATAATATGAAACTTGACATACAAAGAAGATAAACACAATTGTATGATAAATATCTGGATATACAAAAAATATCTCTAAATGCCATATGTTCTACTAACTGCATGTAACTTATTGCTCCGTACACGAATTCATATACAACCAATTATTCTTCCGAAATATAACAATGTTTAATAACAATAACCTCATATCTACATTAGATATCTTGTTTAAAGATGCTATAACTAGAATAAAAATATACCCCTACATGTCATAAATATACATGTGAAACATCACCAAATGCCTGAAAGAAGAGATAGAAATATAAACTTAAATTTTATTTTACGAAAAGATCAAGATTATTTCACAAATGCACCCCGTGCCGAGAAACTATAGACATAACTATCAAGTTCAAATCCCATGAATATTACCAAAGAGAGACCGAGTCAGTCGTGTTTTCCCTTAACAGAATAAAAATGTTTTCAATTTGCATTATAACTAATAACATTAGTTCATTTCATATTGAGCAGTATAATCAATCCATTCCTGATAAAAGGTTGAGTCTATGGAACATAATCGAGTCTATACCAGAATTTATTTATCTAGTTTAAATACATCTATTATTTGTGAATTTGTGAATGGTGTATTCACAACGTTCTGAAACAAGATTTCCCTACATGATTAAGTCTGCAAACCAGCGTTTTCAAGAAGTACCATGTAAGTACATACATGGGTGTAACTGATGTAGCATTTAATTTACATATTGTATTTAAGCGCTTTACGTGGTTAACATGCACACGTTTCAAATGCATACATTCAATGATTTCAGAAATATGACTGAATCGGTGCTTTTGTGCTATAATTTTCATGTTTGATGTCATATTTAAAGGAGCATTTCGATGCTAATCTTGCACAATGATGTAAATTTTGTATGCATTTAGCACCCTTTCGGCTCTCCGCTAACAATATTCTTACTTCTGCTATCTCTATCTTTTGAAATCGTTCTAAAATCTATTGCACACTTATGGTTGGTATCCTCATTGACTGGCAAAAAACTTTGTTTATCTTTTCGTTAAATTCCTTGTTACTGTTGTCTCTACTTGCGACTATTTTACAGCAAATTGTGAACATAAACCTTGTACAAAAATGTATAATTGTTAAAAAACTACATGGAAGAATATTCATAGTTGTTCTGTGTTGATATGTTAATTGTAACTTGCATTTTCTTTCACCAAACCAATGGAATAAATTACATAAAGATTATGACAGGGTGCACGTTGATCTTTATGTATTAATTTCTATGATTTATAGAATATGTATCATCTATACTTTAGAAGAGTATTATTATAAAATAAAATATAAGTTATATGCATTTTCAAGTAAATATTGATATGGTGAGTATACTGTCAGTATACATTCTGTAAAAAATTCATATCCGGTTTAAAATATTATTTCAAACTGTTATATTTGGATTTGTATAATCATACCAAAACATTTATGTGTGTGAAACTACGTAATCACATGAAAATGTTAAGACACTGTAAATTATTGCAGTGAATAAAATGGTGGAATAATTGAAGTCTAGCCTTGATGCTTGGAAGTGGGATAATAATTGCTGTGTCATATTATGCACGTTCATCATTCACTCACCGTCGCTCTCGTGTATCAAGTTAAAAGGTTACAGATCAAATATATTTTAAGATCTAGATCATTCGTACTCACAAATAAATATCGCTC